TCTGCATATAGCCGATCATACACTTCTCGGTGAGAACACTACCTAAATAATAAATATACATATATAAGGTAATAATAAATATAAATTCTCCGAGATACGAGCATCTGAACATCATAACTGACTAAATTTTTTTTTAAAAAAATGAGACCAAAGTTCTTGAACTTGTACGTAAACAATATAATCTGTTGTCGCTAGATAATACATATATGAAGTGCTGCCACCAGTTGAAAATTATAACAATTTAAAATGCAACAGAGTTTACCATAGCTCAGGGACACCTGCACATCTAAAAAGAACTTTATCCAAAAAAGTTCTTTTTAGCGACATGTTTGTTTTAAATTTGAATCATTTTCAGAATATTGATAAGATTATTTTACCAAAAAACAAGCTGAACCAATTTTTAAATAACTACAAAAAGCTTATTTCCTTCAACCACAAGAATGCAACAGTTAGGCGAGGCGCGAACTTTAAACTTTAAACTTCACACTCCTTCACACTCCAGGTTGATTTCAGCTATATATGAAGCGTTTTCAAGATAACTCAATATGTTGCTAATATTGTGATAAAATTTAAATTCGTTTCTTTATGCGAGGTATGAATTATATTAACAGCAATATGGAAAAATAACAAAAAAAAAAAAAAAATATTTTCGATACAAAACATAAAGCAGCACAAAACAACTTGAGGCAAACATGCAAATAAGTTACAAAGAAATTGTCAGCAAGCCCTTGAAGCAAGGAAACAGCTGCAGAACGCACTCGGAAACGCTACACCCAAGCAAGTTTATAAACAAGCATAAGCAAATATATATATATATATGTCTGCATATATGCTTATGGAAAATATGGAAAATATCTTGAGACGAGTCTGGGCTGCTGCTGGAATATGTACGCACAGCGTGCGGTAAAAAACAATTGTGTAGCGTAGGAGTTTGACGAAAATAAAATATTTAAAAAATTCAAAATTCAAAATTAAAAAAAAAATTCCAACAAAATGTGGTGTTGTTGTAGTTATAAGCAGCACCGACTTCAGTGTTGGCAATAGCTATACACATGCAGCAGCTGACAATGACGTCGATGTTGTTGACGATGGCAATGTCATCGACAACAAATATGACTGAAATTGCAGAAAAAAGTTTCAAACAAAACAAAAATAATAATAAAAAAAAGAACAAAATAAATAAATACAATAAAAATAAATGCTAGGGCGACATTTTTGTTGCAGACATTTTGTCACTGTGGCTGCGTTTGTTGCCACTTCCGTTGGCTGCCAACATACTTCCTGTCAGCTGCTGTATGTTTTGGCATAAGAAATAATGTTATTTGAAAAGACAGGCGGGAATTGAATTAAATTTTCTTAGCGATTGCGAGTGCGAGTGCGAGTGCGAGCGACTGTCTAACTTTTCTTTGGCTCCATTTTCACTTTTCACTTTTACTGCTACTACTTTCCTTCCTCATTTGTGCCATTTGCTTTTTATATTTTTGGCACAGTACTTCTCGTATTGATGATTTTATGCATTTCAAGGAATACACAGCAAAACAATAACAAAACTAAATGAAGCAAAAGAAAATCGTAAATTTCTAAATTATTTTCAACTCAATAAAATGTGTATAGAGAGTGTTTCCTTTGTTTTGTCATTAACTCAGAATTAAGTCAGAGTTTTAACTTTAAGTTGCCTCTTCCCTCTTCCCTCTTGCCTCTTGCCTCTTTAAATACTCTATTCCATCCATGAGTTGAGTTTTTAAACTAAATTCGATCATACGTAATCAAACCACGGTTTGTCATTCATAATTTCAATAAAACTCGAAATCATATTAATTGAAAATAAATTGTTCACTAGTTTTAATTAAATTTGTTGCTTTGCGCTTGCAGTCGTGCACTAACTCGAAATGAATGCCCCACTTCGTACGGTGCAGTTTGTTGTGGACTCGAAATCACACACCTCGAAAACCACAGAAACCGAAATATTACAATATTAAGACGCGCTCAAGCCGAAGCAATCGAAAACCGATTAACATTTGTTTGGCCGTTGCGAATTGCAGGCAACATTCACTCATCTCTGCGGTCAATGAATGCTGCTGCACTCAGGTGCATTGCTGTGCAGCACCATGCAGCATTGTGCAGTGTGGTGTGATGTTGTGTAATGCTGTGTGGTGTAATAAGGAATTCTGTGTTGTCAGCCGGCAGTAAGAAATTGATTAAAAAAGAAAAACATTTTTACACAAAGGACATTCCAAATTGTTATGAATACTAACTTGGATTATTGTTTGACTGCAATTCAAATGTTCAGAAGTTCCATTTTTACTAACCTGAAAAAAATAAATATCATTATTATTATTATTAATATATATGGAATCGAATAATTGCAATTTAATTTAAAACAAAATATTTTATCCAATGACGTCAACAGTATAAATGAAATTAAAATAAAAAGATCATTCCAAATCAAGAAACGACGTCTTAAAAATTCTTGATTTACTTGATTAAGAAGATCAGTACTATCTAAGCTTCATGGTATTCATGGACTAGGAGAAGCGAAGGTTTTGCTTCTGAAGTGATAGAATTGTGGTATAAATATTTTAGCTGTATTTTTCAAAACAGTAGAAGCGGCATGGTACTAACTCATGGTATAATCAACAAGTAACCTCTGACTTCTTGTCAAGAATTTTGTAACAAATGCCAACCAATGAGAATAATAATTGGTCATCAATCAACTTGTGCGTAACAATTAACTTCCACATACTTTCGGTAACCTGAATGTTTAGACAAAACATTAACTAATATAATGATGAAAAACTAATGAAAAATTTATTTCAATTTTAAAAAATGTCTTAATTTATTATATATGATACCTGTTAAAATTTCAAAAATTTGAACAATTACTCATTTAGTGAAAGTTGCTTTAGTGATTCATTTTCTTATTTTCAGAATAGATTCAAGTAAAATTCGCGTCTCGATTTATCAATGCTTTTTGATTGGAAAGAATGTCGTGATAAAAAAAGCCTGACTTGATAAGTGCTACCCGACTTTATTTCATCGAGACAAATGGTAGAGAAGTGGTTTACTGACTTTAAACGCTGGCGTACAAATATCGATGGCGATGGTCGCCTAAATGATGTCACATAATCTGAAAACATTAAAGAAGTCTGCAAAATCATTTTGGCAAACCGTAAAGTAAAGTTGTAGGAAACAAGAGATAGTTGATACATTGAATATTTCAATGGAACGTCTCAACATGATTTTGCATAAATAATGTTTTTAACAAAGCTCTCACTACAAATGACTCCCTGATTCTTTGGTAGTTCTGAGAGCTGTTAGGAATTGTTAAAGCGAGATAAAAAAAACGTTTACTTTGGTAAATAACAGTGGACGAAATCGAACAGACAACGAGCATGGTCATAACGATCAGCTCTAAAAGATAAAAACATATTAAATGCACAAATAGTAACTAAAGGTGATAACTTTACTGACTTAAAAATAATTCTTTCGACTTCGGATAAACCTTAACGTTACACTCATCGGATACAAGTTTTAAGACAATTCGATTATCTACTAACATATATGTTTCTTGTTTTATACATTCACCTCCATAAGGTCAATTCCAAACGTATCAATCCATCTTTCTCGAAATCTGCTCTTCACCTTTACCTTCATCAGTATGTGTCTGAAATGACTTTATGTTTCCATAAATGTATCATCCTATTACTACCTTACATATTCTAGTCAGACTATGTCTAAAGTATTTACGTGTATGCCAGTTGTAAGAAACTAGTTGCTTTAAGCATGAAAAGATAACTGCTTTATGATTACTCGACTTTGATAATTACTTTAAGCAAGGCACAACTTTTAGGACCGTTCATGGCGATAAAGATGGAGGACTTTCTACAACTGCCGACATAAAGGACGTTAATTTGGAAAACTAAACATCTCAGTTTAATTTAGTTTAATTTGAAATAAACAACTAATTTTACAATTTTTGATTTGTATATTGTTTTGGATTCCTGGTTGTTATAATAGAGAGAGAGAGACAAGCTTTGGTCAGCAATCGTCTATAAGTCAGTGTATGTGCAAAGCCTGTTTCTATTTAGTGCGTATTTATTTGTCAATCACCGGCTTGAAATCTTAATTGTATCTACTTCTAATACTTCAAGCAAAACTCTACTCTTAAAATCAGTCAGCTTCATTAAGTTCAAGGTAGAACTGATCGAACAATGTACACGCCGCTTGTTGTTTCATATATTATAATGAATATGTCCTTATCATAATAGGGACATACCAAATGTAGGTACACATCCATAAGACATACCAACAGGTATTCGAAACATATTATGCATCATAGGGAAAGAAACATTTTTAATTTTTTTTGTTAATTTTTTGACAAAACAATACATTTTTTCCACCGATTCAACAGCGTTATTAACCTCTCCCAATAGTGCAAAGTGTATGTTAAATATACAACTATTGTGGATGAAGAGATGATTCACTAGACCGAGAGAAATTGCTGCGCTCTACAAAAACTTTTAACTTAAAACGAAAAACCGTCAGTGTAGCCAGATATTATAACTATCATTGATGTTCCAAACAATTTTGGTTATATAAAAGTTTTGTGATGCTCTCTATAGCTTTCTACAGCATTCTTTATTTGAATGACTACATTATTTGGGGTCATTGATATCAAGAATATTTAAACTCTTTTCATTTAAATTGATTCAATATTATTCTTGTCTTTCAAAAGAAAAAACAACCTCAACGTTTTGATCAACTTTCTTCCATGAAATTTCTAAAGCATCAATAATGTTTACATAAAAAGGACCATAATGGAAAAGTTAATACCTGGGAATAGCGAAAGGAGCTGTTTCAAAAGCACCTTCTGTACGCCGGTGAAAATGTATTACAAATGGTCTAATAATAAATTTACTATGTACGAGTGATAAAAACACAATCACTTAATTAACAAAGTAAACATAGTTTATTAATGTGAGTTTATGTGTGATTATCAAAATCTGTAATTCAGTTTATTTTATTTTCCAACAAAATTGTTCACATTTTGGTCCCGTAAAATTTAATCAAAATTATGACGTTGCAAAAATTTTGGTGAAACTATAAATAAATTGAACTGAAATTCATTGGTTAAATCCAGATTGTAAAAATGTCAAAGGAAATTTCAAAAATGCGTTTGCCGAAAAAAGTAAGTTATAATACTAAACTAAGTAGTACTAAGGCTTAAATCTTATATTCGCAATACATAGAGCTTCTCAGATAGCTTCATATTGGTAAATTCCAAGAAAACTGGAATGGCGAACGTTTATCCAACTATTAATACCTCTGAAACACCAAAGAAGGACAATGATGCTTGCTCATCAGTTCAATTGCATAAGAATATCTGTGGTGATGGTTTAAATACGTGTTCATCTATTTATGAATATGATGAAGAAAGTGATGTCCTAGACAAACTAATAATATCGAAATTGATGGTTTTTCAAATTCAAATAAAAAATTTAATAAAGCTTTCGAAAAAAATAGAGAAGGGAATATTGAGGATGGAAGCGATGCAATGCAATGAATCCAGTACGTAAACAATATGTCCTGAGAAGAAGAGGAGTACCGAAAGACCAAAACAGATTCAGTCTAGCAAGTGGTCGTGTTGAACTCTTCAATTAAAATTTTGGAGAAAGTATATTGAGAGGTATTTTAGATACAAAATATATTAGCAAATATGTTTAATATTCTTAATCTTTAAGGAGGTCTATTGCTTGTAAGAGCAGATGAAGGGAAACCATTTACAAGATTGTCAGATGATTAACCCTTTGATTGTTCATGTGCTGGTAATCATAAGAAAGCAAATAATATAACTTTGTGGACTGTATACTTTACTTGGGGACACTACTTATTTCCTTATTGGAAATACGGAGTTGAGGTCATTGGTTTGTATTGATGGCATGATTTTTAAAATGACAGAAGAATGTTTTTCTGCGAGGTGTTGACGAAACTAGTGATGAAACACAACATATGACAAGTTCACACATAATTGTTAGTTTTGGCAGTTTAAAATCTCAGTTTATTTTGTTTATTTTAAAATTAAAACGTTTTACTTACAACTTACCACATTCTAGTTTAATTGTTTATTTTACTCAATTTTTGATGATGGTGATGAGGATGTCTTTCTTCATCTTTCGAGTGACATACATTTTTGAAATGGATTTTTTTATTATATATTCATTTCTATGATTAAAGGTCAAATAAGTGATAGTTTTTTTGGTTATTCATAAAACTACTGGATATTTCTGCGGAATTTGACGTGGGCCTCAGTTAGTACTACTTTTGAAATAATAACGTTATTTTCTTTATTAAATTATATAGAAGAGGGATCCTAAAATCAGTGGAAGAAAACAAATATTTGTTAATTATACTTGTATCTTAAGTATGCGATTAATTGGGTAGAAACGTTGCTAATAAAAATAATATCATTTCGTTTATTTCTACTTTTGGACATTTTTCCTTATTCACAATAATTATATTTATATATGTCTCAAATTATTGGAAGCATATGTCACAAGTCATTACAATTGACAACATTTAGAATAATACAATAATTGTCCGATCAAGGGAAGTCGACTGTTATGTTGCCTCAGTGGTTTAGCACGCGAGTCTGCATTTTAGTTCTATCCAGTTTAATGCCTAGCAATTACAATCCGTAAAGTATATATGGACAATCAAAAAAAATAAATATTTTAAATTACCTTTTTCGATTGATACTTGGCAATATTCCAAAAATATCAAACGAAATTCAATTAATTATATGCACTTTTGGAGTTTTGAATTGTTTTTTTTGGCAATCGAGTCCATTAACAGATATAATTAATCTCAAAAAACATTTGTGGTAATGTAAATAGACCACATCTTAAATAAAGACGAAAGATTTTTTCAATAACAATGAATGAATAAAAAATATGTAGATTTCATGAAATCACAGGTTCTCTACCTGTCATATATATATGATATATAATAAATCTTAAGATCTGATAAACCACCGTTAAATTAAATATATAAGTATGTTTTGTATTAGAAAGGTAATAACATCCATTTAAGTTTCTGGTAGATACACACTTTTCCCATTTTCAAAACATTTTGCTTAAAAAACGTTTAGTATATTTGAAAATGCATCACTAATGGTAAATGAATGATATATATACCTATTCACTCACTTAAGAAAGTGTGTTTACTTGAGGTCAATGACTCTAGAATCAAGAGCATATAAGACTGGACAAGAGAGAAAAAAATGGCTTTTTGGATGTGAATGACAGTTTCTAAAAAATTTAGCCAAGTTAAGATAAAATTCCAAATGAGATAAAAGCAAACTTTTTGGAGATGAGATGATATACATATTTCATACTAATATGAATACGAATCTAGAAACAATTCATAATATATATACGCGTCAAAATATATTGTTAACCTTATACGAGTATATAATTCAAGCCTCGATGAAAATACATCTCACCAAATTAGAATCTATATTTCGACTTGAATGTATATGTATAGGCATGGACTCTTTGTAAGGGCTATAAGGCTTTTAAATTACATACATTGAGTTCTTATATATGAAACATATAAATAAGTGTGACTAAATCGTATTTCTATTTTTTATTTGACCGATAGATTGACTTTATCGTCATTAATTGAGTTTTTTGTTTATATATCTCCTGAGGTGTCATAAACGCTTTCATGATAAAATGGGTTTGTCTTCAAATAATATATTTTTTATCTCTGTACCGATGTGGTACGAAATATTAATAAATAAATAATGTTTAGAATAATATATTATGTATTTTTACAAATTAGTACATACCTTACATGAGTTTTGTGAATGTTACAATATTTCCAATATCCAATGTAATCGTAT